GGAGTCTGCCTGGGCAGCATTTTTAAGCAAACCTGGGATGAACTACAAGTGGTTTTCATGCAAATTAAATACAGATTCTCTCAAAGTGCAATGTACTTCAGAGAGAAGACCGGATTTTTTTATTTTTTTCCCCCCCACTTTTAGATCATTACGTTTATACACTTAGGCTAGTTTTAAAAAAGCTTTTTTGTTTTGAGGCCATTTCCTCTTGTCCTATCAGTAATTATTCTGGAGAAGGGATCGACCCCCACCTCACTACAACCTCCTTTCAGGCAGTTGTAGAGAATGATAAGGTCTCCCCTGAGTCTCCTCCACACTAAATAACCCCAGTTCCCTCAGCTGCTCCTCGTAAGGTCTGTGCTCCAGCTCCTTCCCCAGCTTTGTTGCCCTTCTTTGGGCCTGCTCCAGCACTCAATGTCTTTCTTGTAGTGAAGGGCCCAAAACCAAATACAGTTTTGAATTTTATTAATTCCAGAAATAGTACCTCACAGGCTGAGTGACTTGGCACAACTGAATTTCCTTAACATCTCCTTTTTAATTCTCATTACTGTATACTGGCACTCAAAATGTTTTCCTGTAAGGAAAGTACATGAAAGTGTCATATATAGCAAGCAGGCCACAGTTAAGAGCAAGTAAGCCTAAAGTTGCACCAGGAGAAGGTCAGGTTAGATATTAGGAAAAAATTCTACACAGAAAGAGTAGTCAAGCAATGGAAAAAGCTGCCCAAGGAAGCAGTGGAGTCACTATCCCTGGCAGTTTTCAAGAAACATGTAGAGGAGGCATTTAGGGACATGGTTTAGGAGGGACAGTGTTGAAGGTCTTACAGTAGGACTCAAGAATCTTTAAGGTCTTTTCCAACCATTATGATTATATGAAATTCAAGCAAATTTGCCCATTCAGGGCAATCATGGAGCAATCATTGCTCTTCCAGCTCCCAGTCAGGTCTGAACCATGACCAAACCATCCCACTAGTGGCAACACCACAGACTATCAAGCCAAATGGGAGCATTCATGTGCCCGTGGGGCCCTCCAGGCCTAGCTGAGCTGACAGATATCTTTCAAGTAACCCTGTGTATCTGCTTGAACAAACTATGTTTAAGTCAAATCTATGCATTTTAGTCCGCTCCAGCCTCAAGATCACTTACTTAAACCTATATATCTTCTGCTTACTTGGGCCCTTACCTCCAGGCTCCGGCTGCAATATCTGATTTAAGGCATCAGCCCAGACAGGTCCTTGGAGCAGCAGATGCCATGCAGGAACTCTGCCTGTCTTTCCAAGGAAAGCAGGAGATCTGCTCAAGCTCACCTCTCTTGGAGGACAACACAAGCACAATCACTGTGAAGCCATCACCCTCAGAAGAGGTGACTAGCTTTGAACCAGCCACACTGCAAAAGTCTTCAGGAAGAAGTGGACAGCACACAGGCCCACTCCTCATTGAAGGGTTTGAGAAGCTACAAGAGACCACATATCTTGAGGAGAAAAAATTCCAGGCCTGCTGAAAGGCAGATATAACCCCACTTACTAGCCACTTCTTCCCCTACTGAAGGGGAAAAAAAAAAAAAAAAAAAAAAAAACAAAAAACAACCAACCCACACCCAAGCAGGAAGGGCCTCGGCCTTAAATACGAGCTCATTCCTCCGCAGCTGAAGCTGGTTCTGGGTGAGACAGATCCAGCTGGAGCAGGATTTAATTGCTTGCGGGTGGTTGCAGCCCACCTTCCCTTCACAACAACCTTTCCACAGAGGGAAGCCTTCCCCTGTTACAGGGGAGCTCTGCCTAATCTGGCTAACTCCCTCAAACACCTCAGCACCCATGCGGCTGAGAAAGAGGCCAGTTCTTGGGTGGAAAAACCCCAAACGCCCAAGGCTTGGTGCTACCATCACATTTCACATGACCAGGGACTTGGCACAGCAAAGGAATCGTTCTTCTCCTCAGGGTTTGCTGCAGGGAGACAGCCTGAGAGAGATGGCTAAGGCCAATACCCGGCCTTAGCAAGGCCGCTCATTGATGTCTGTAACGTTGGGTCTCAGGAACATCCATTAAATTGGTCTGTTTTTGCAGACATGCCACTTGAGAGCCTCGTCCTGCTTGCAGGGGTGTCCCAATCCATACAGCCATGGAGATGGGGACATGTTTTACAAGGAGGATTTGGGGCTTCAAGTCAGCAACACCTGTATTCCAGCCCTAACAGAGGCAAAACCCAACTTCTAAGAAATTGAGCAGTCCAGCTATAAAAAATCTCTGTTCTGTCACACCTGGACATGCCTCAGGCCTGATGACTAAGTTGAGGAAAGGTTCTTTTCCTCACAATTTTTGAACAGAGTTGTTAAATTCAGCAGAGATTCAGTTGCTAAGCATCTGAGCAAAGTGTGCTTTACTATTATTTAAGAAAAAAAAGTGATGCCTCATGGCAAGCTTTTCCAGCAGGACTAGTGATTTTTTTTCTGAATATGCAGCCATATAAAAACAGCTCACATTACAAGAAGCCTTTGACCCCCGAAACTTGGGCCACTGTAACTGCGTCCCCTATTAGATACCCAATATGTGTATTGAGATGTGGAAAATTCATCCTGTTTTTAAAGTGAGATCAAAGACTCTCTCCCTGAGGGAAACAGGTCTGCAAGGCTTAGGGAACGTGCTGCCAGCACAGCTCTAAGAAGGGATTTTTTCAAGCTTTGGCAGCCAGCGTTAACAGCTCCCACAGTGAAGGGCACTAAAGGATGCCAGACCCCAGTGACTGCATGAGCAGGGCAGAAACACTGCCAAAGCCTGCCCGGCCATAACATTAATGAGAGCCAATGAGTCCCGAGTGCTTTCAAGCATTAAGCATTAGCTCTTGGAGACAGCAAGCTGCTAACAGAGACTCCACACAAGTGTTTCAAGTGAAAAGTAGGGGTAGGCACAAAACTCGAGCAGTTTGGCAGCAGCTGCAGCCTCTGATCAGTAGCAGGGCTATTATTAGTCTGCCTGTCAGCTGAGAGTAATAAGAGTAGCAGCAAGACTCGGGGAAGACAATTAGATCTGCGGCATCCCTGAAAGCCAGAGAAGCAAAAGGAATGTTTTTCATCACTCAGAATGCCTGCAGACATTCATTAAAAAAAAAATAAAAGAGTGCATCCCTCCTGAACACCTCATCCTATGATCGATTTCACTTGCTAGTGGCTTCCTGACAGCACAGAAAATATGCTGTAGTGTTGGATGTCACGAGCCTTTCTGTCCTCTCCTGCTCAGCTGTAGAACATGCTGGGGCATGGTGCAAGGGAAAGCACAACACAGGGCTTCTGCTCTTCCCTCTGCTTCAGCCTTCCTTGGCTTTTCCTGTGTTTGAGGCAGAACAGCTCTAAGGAAGGATTATTAATGCCCCTACTCACAACAGTAATCCAAGCAGCTTATTGCAGGGAATCACTATGCTGTAGGTTTAAAATAAACATTGCTAGTAAGAACCTGCTCTACTGCAGCACATACCTTAAACTATCCTTCTGTTTCACCTTACCTGCGATTACATGGGCAGGCCAGCTTGTAAACTTTCAAGAAAACACGAAACTTGATTTTTATTTATTTTTTAAATCTAAATCTACTTTAAGGGGATGACTTAGACAAGCCCCAAAAATGATGTTCTAACACCTTCAGAAACCCTATCCAATTTCTGCAGCTACATTGATGAAACAGGGAGAAGGCACAAACTGGTGTTTGCTCTTTCTGAGCGGGGCATCCACCTCACTTCCTCAATGAAGACATTAGAATCAATCTGTTTTTTAAGCAGCAGAAGGAACAGCTGCGTGCACCAGGATGATGCATATACACATGATACCAGCTCAGAAACAGATGATTAACCCAAAACTTCCTTTAAATTTGAGGCACCAGTGACTGACACGAGGGGTGGAAAACAGGCCACTTAGCTTCAGTCCTGTGGCAATAGAAAGAAGTAATGAAACTAGTAGAAATAAGGAAATAATGCAACTAGCTTTCCAGATCATACAGCATAAATTAGGTCTCAGAGAAGATATTAATAATTTCTACAGGGAAGGGCATCTGAAAACATCCTTGGAAGAACCTAAAAGAAATAGCATCAGGACTAAGGAAAAAGAACAATTTAATGTTTCTAAGCATTAACAGGTACCTCTACACAGTTTCACCACTTTCATTTCACAATCCCAAGGGTAACCAGGATTAAAAAAAAAACATTGCTGGACCAACTGTTTGTCCCTTCACTGTTATCATCCCAGGTTTTTTCAGGACACTTGGCAGCTACCTTACTGGGGACTATTACCTGAACTGCTGCTCTTTTCTGGCAACACGGTGTAGAGATCGCAGGACAGAGTGACAGAATCAACATGTTTGCCATACGTGTCTCCTCACTGAGTGAGCAGGAGCCTGTGGCAGAGACATTCCCGATAGAAAGAATAGACTTGAGAGCAGACAAGGATCGCAAAAGGGAATTCAGAGTTTTATTTCCAAAAAAAGAGCGACATAGTGTTGAAACAACAACAAAAATCACGTTCAATTAATTTTCCTCCAATCTGAATGGCTACAAAAATAGATTCTACCCAAATCCATAAAGCCAGTTAACAGTACCATAATAAACAAAAAAAATTACTCATTCAGATACCATATACAGCAGTCACAGGAATCTAGCATATATTATTTAATGTTTTTTTTTAAAAAGTAAACTTCTAAAATGTTTCCATTAAAACTGAAATACCCATACGATTTTAAAAAATTGTACAAAAAATAATTTTAAAACCAGTCGGAGGTAACAGTGTGCGTTTATTAAAATCCTGCACCATGGCAGTAACATTTATAATTTAAAACCCAGCCCAGTAGAAAAGAGAAATGTGCAAACATTTAAAAAGTTACAGGTACTCAGAGGCTTGTGGTGCATCAGACCAGGTGATCCACTTCTGTCCTAATGCAAGGCGGGCTCCAGGAGGAGATGTCTCTAGCGAGGCACTGGAAGGGAGGCAGAGCCGGCGCGCAGGGGCCGGCGCGTTGCAGCAGCGGTGGCCTCTCCCCAGGGACGGTTTGCCCGGTCAGTAGTGTTATGGCACTCGGTCCAATGCCAGAAAGTCCTGGATGAGGTCTGGTCACTCCGCTTTGGGGAAAAAGATTGAAAAAATAATCATTTAGGAAGCAGAAAGTGGAAGCAAATGAGAGAAACCAGGATTTGGTTCCCTGAATGCATCACTGCATTGGCTAAAAGAATTAACACTGGGCCCAAAACCTCTCAAGTGCATTTGCACAGACACACATACAAGAGCTTATTTTGAAAGGTAACAGTGCTGTAGAGCCTCTCCACTCCCACCTTTGTTTCTCCCCAGAGGTTTGCAGAATTAGAGGCTGACATGTTGCTGTGTCAATACTCAAGCCTTCTTTCAAGCACAGGAGAAGGAGGGTAAAAAGCAGTGACACCGAGTTCTGGGCATCCTTTCATGCCAGATATAACCCCACTTCTATCCAGGAAGGCATCTTTCTATCCAGGAGTCCCTAGTAAGTCTCAAGACATTAGAGTGATGAAATCTAGCTAGCTGTCACAAGGTGCTTACACCATTAAGTACCTCACACAACCAGCAGATTCCTATCCTCAAAATACAAAGTCCTGCCCTCTGTCATGGGCCATGTGATTCAATGAACTTTCTGCTTCCCTTGGCTGCTTCACCAGCCCCAAAATATCTTCAGCCTCACCTACCTCCTCCATTACTTAGTCCATGTCCTAAGGGACTTCTTGCCAAATTTCTTTCTGCATAGCTCCTGCAATGACACAAGAGAAGGCTCCTTACTGCCATGCAGTGCCATCCCGTCCACTCCCAGCTGCTGACAGAAGACCAGGATTAGGTAGTGTCCAGAGGAAGTGCGCAGAGCAGAGGAGGTCAGGCAGTCACTTATCCTTACACACCAGCAGGTACCAATCCCACCAAGCTTCCTGCATCCGTTACAAGGTCCTTTGTCTCCACTTCCGTAGCCCCTGTCACCTGAACAGTGTTCTAGGGAGACCAGACAAAGCCCCGCACCCATGGTGGTAGTTTAGCTCTACCGTATAGACAGAATGGGAGCAGAGATATTGAACATGTCCAAGTGACAGTGTCAAGCCAGGATTAAAACTCCAGAGTCCCATCCTCGGCCAACTGAGCCCGTGTGGCCTGCCCTTAGATCAGTATGGGTTGACACGAATAGAAACCTGTATGCGAATACTCAGAGTCCTGTTCCTTTGGGAGGTGGGATTGTGATCTCTCCTGCTTTTCGGAGAGAAAGAAACAAAGCATTACTCATTAAAAGAAAAAAAAAGTCAAGGGACATCATGTGAAAGAGGACCTGCCTCTCTTTTATTATTTCCCTTGGATAGTTTGGTGGACACGCACATGATCAGATTCCAGCACAAGGATCCCTATCATCATGTTGGAAATGTGCTCTGCTCTCCTCAGAAATGCCCTCCCTTACCAACCCCATCTCTTAGGAACAGAAGTTGGTTGGTACTCACCCTCTGCCTCCTTCCAGAGTACTCTGGATCTCCTTCAGGACTTCTGGAAAGCAGAGAGTTAACAAAAGTGAGCCAAGCCCCCAGCAGAGCTCTGCTTTCAAGGTAGCAGACGGGCCACATTCCACCTCCCAGCAGAGCTGCCTTTAAAACCTGCCTCCCACCACCCGCAGCTCAGACCTTTTAACATCGCTGCCCCTTCGACAGTACCAGGGTTTTACTGGACAGGCTGGCGCAAAGGACCGAAGCAGTCGCTTGCCAGAGGAAATGCTGCCAGTCCCAGCACCAGAGCCCCAGACAGAACAGTCTGTCCCACTGGCATTTTACAGCAGTCCCACTACTAAGTTAAAAGGCCTTCTCTTATCAGGGCAGGGAATGCAGCTATGCAGGCCAACCCTTGCCTTCGGGTATTACTGTCTGTCCAACCCCTCGTATCTATTGATTCATGAAAAAAAGAAAAGAAACCCACACCCACAGTATTCCTAGCAGTTTGGTGCAGTTGCAGACCCCCTGGAAGCGAGTGCTGGAACCAGCAGAATTCCCTGCTTTCCCGCCCAGAAATGCTCTTGTGCTGATGGTAACAAGTTCATCTCACTCACTTTCATCATTGAGTAAGGCATGTTCCATCAGCCTCCCAGACTTCCTTTCTGAAAAGAGAGGAGGAAAAGAGGTTTTACCTAATGTTTGTCCTTTTCCATAAAATACACACACCTTTGAAAACCCACCCTATAACTGTTTTTTCTTCAAGTCCTTTCAACATCACTGAATGCTTCCCAACTAATCCTTAAAACTTCTCATGTACTGAATTGTATTTTCCAGCAATACTGGTTTGACTAACAGAAGATATTGGAAATTTCGGACCATATCTCTCCACGACCTTCCAGCAGGAGCTACATTCTGTTCTTTCAAAACAATCTTGCTGCATGCAATCTACTTCAGCATTAGAAACTGCACTGTCCAGGGCAAGGTATTCCCTTCCCCAGCTTACCATCTTCTCCATAGTCACCCGAAGTCCTTCCTGATCCCCTAGAAGAGAAAGGGGGGCAAATAACACTGACTGGGAGGCATAGGAGGGTGGATAATTCATGTAAGAGAAACTCTAATGCATGCTAACGAAATGGCATGTTGAGCAAGCGTGCAGGAAGGGCTTCATCACGTACTGGTGACACCCACAGCCCTTAAGTAACACAAGCCAGAATTTACAGCTTGCTCTTCTAGCCGCAGGAGACCAATTCCCATCCTTGATTACTTTGTCCCGGCAGCAGTAGTGCAAATAGGACAACCACCAGGGAGCAGGTTACATTTCCTCATGCCAATCCCTCCAGGAATGATGTTAAGAGTCATCAAACAGTAGCCCTCCTAAAACTTCTGCCTCATTTATTTATATATATTTTAAAGGGAGTTTCTCTATAAAATACAATACTTTGTGGGAGACAGCTTGGAGAGGGAGATGGGCTGCAGAAACATTCAGAACATACCCCAGGTTTCCCTGCCTTGCCCACAACACAGGAGCGGGTCACACCATCCAGATGTGGCGTGCAGGAGTTTTATGGACTTTACCTGGATTTTCTTGTAGCATTCTCCACGCCAGACCTGTTGTTCACATGATTGTTGCTTGTAAGTTCTGGCACATCAACAATGCACTGGGGCTCCACCAGCCATTTGGTAGAAAGGGAAAACCTCTCAAACTCTGAGGGTGAGATCAGATAGAAACCTGCAGAAGAGAGAGAGAATTTATAAGCAGCTCTCAAGCCCAAGAACATACTTCCAGAACTAAAAGCAAACAAAAAAGAACAGATAAAAGTGTCATTTATGTTCCATAGAAAAGGGACTATTTGCATTTCTTCTCATCTAAATTAGGACAATACTGGCAAAGAAGATATTACCCCATATTCAATACCTGCTGGCAGCTGGAACCAGACAGAAACACACAGCAGAGACATTTATGCACTGCTCACCTGTGTATGCAGACAGCTCTAAAACAAGCTCTAAAATTGCCCTGCCACGTTACACACACACACAGAGGACTGGGATTTGGGGAAAAATATGGCGTTACCTTGGCCGTATTTGGTGAAGACGCAGGATGCAATGCCGCTCACATCCTCCTTGCGGATGCAAGGGTAGCGAATCTGTAACTTGAGGAAGGGCAGCGAGATGATCTGAATGTCTCCCAGGTTCGTCAGGACAGCCAGGTCATTTTCACTGTAGTCATTCGTCCTGCAGCTGCCGAAGTTGGCAACTGTCACCTTTCGGACCCGACAGCCTTCCAGCGCCGTCAGCTTGAGCTTCAGTTTGGAGCTAACCTTGGGCAACGTGAAGACCTGCCGATGGGAACAGGACACTCACAGCTCCTTCCTGCACAAGGAGCGTGAGCCACCGCGCCCAGGACCTGCTGCTCCCTCCTTTAACAATGTTTTATTCACAGTGAAGATGCAGTGGGGTAACCTGAGCCAGCCCGGCTTCCTCTTCACCAGACGAAAACAAATAATAATCACCCAGTGTTAAAAGTATCTGTGTTCTGGCATCAAGCACTTTTACATTTTGAGCTGCAAACTGCATTTCTCCTACTTTTTTCAAGAAAACCTCTGTACTCAACTAAATATTAAGGAAAAAATGGGGTTTACATTGTGTGCTCTTCCATGTTAAAAGACGACAGCCTAGAGCATAGTCTGTATGGATTATTCTCTTCTAAGCTACTTAATACACAAAGTAAGGATTTTAGTTGCTTATAGAAATGTCTACAAATTACTCTTTCTGTACCATGTTACATGGAACTAACCACAGAATCAAAAGCTCTTTTCCAAAAGCAGAAGCAGTATTGTACAGAGTTTAAAATTATATAGGAATAAAACCTGTATATTCAGCTTGCACATCATTACTCGGCATACTCAATTTATCTGCACACATCTGATTTCCATGGGCTCAGGACTTATTGTCATCACTTGTCTGGACAGTACCACACCGAAACACTATTCCTGAAGCTTTACTCAAATTCAGAAGAAAAACTATTCCGAAGAGCACTGCTCAGTGCTTTAGCACATTTTACATGCAGGCCACAAGCACCTCCTGCGCGATACCTTAAGCTGCTCTTCAGATACCACCAGCAGTTGATGGCTGCCTTGCATATCAGGGCTCTTGGAAAGGTCATGTGCTACTTCCAGAGGTTCTGGGAGTGGAGTGCTGCGCCCATCCAAGACGAGGATCCCCACAACAGGGGCCCTATGCATCAGCTGAATCTCTTTGGCTAGACAAGATGAAGAAAAAACAAAAAACGAACAAGATTCTCATCAGAGATACTGTGCTAGAAACTCAGCTCACACCCTCTCAAAGCTGAAGAGCTATAGACCTCTCCTATGGAAACATTACCTAAAAAGGTAGAGTTAAAGGGTATTTGGACTGAACTTGTTCATGTTAAACAGTAGTTATTATTACACAGAGAACAGGGTGATGGTCACAATAAGGCAGGTGCACACTGTGACTTGATAGTAAAACTTTAAGGACAGCTAATGCAAATTCAGACTTCTGAAGTCAGTGGGGCCTGAGGCTAAGGGAGCTCAGGAAGCACTGGGGCTCAGGCATGTTCTCAAGTCTAACCCAAGAGTGAGCATTGCACAGCTCAGTGCTGTATTTATCATCACCCCCTCACTAGCAACATCAGTGACACCTAGTTCCACTAGAGCACTTGCTCCCACGAGCTGTACTTACCCTGCTCTGCCCTGACAGGCTCATCCATCCTCCTCTCTGCGGGAGGAACGCGGAGGCAGAACGCGTAGACGGTCCCTCCGTTGGTGCCTGCCCACAAGGACGGGCAGTGGCGGGAGCCTGGAGCAACGAGAGGGCTCATGAGCAAACCTCCATCTCTGGCAACCTTGGACATCTGCCTTCCTCCCTCTGTTTAGCTCCTAAACACCTTGATATTACAGCTGTCTCTCCAGGGAAACTACAACTTCTTAGCATTTCTCTTTTGAGAACTTCCCCATCAACAGTTCTGATAAAGGACATGGTTGAGCAAAGGGAGCAGAGGGCTGTTTCCCTCAGTCACCACCATCGCCCCATCCAGTTTTCATCTATTTAAATCATACCCAAGCAAAGGAAGCCTAAAGTTTGGCCATGCTGGGGCAAGGAGGGGTGAACTTTAGAGTAATGAGACAGGGAAATCATTATACTCTAAAGTCCAAAAACATTTCAACATATTTAAAAACCCATGCTATGCTTTCAGACTGCCTAGGAGGATGCAATACTACTTGCCTTGAATTAGTCAGCAGCTACAACAGCTAAACAACAGGTCTGCATTACAACATATGCTCTAGCTCTAGATTATTTTTTCAGCCTAGCACAAAGTACAACACAGAAGGTGCCAAATTTTCCTAGCAGTAAGACCCTAATGTGTTCCTTGGCAGGGGAGGAAAAAAAAGAAACACTCAGAAAAAAGGAGCTGCTTTTGCTACTCACTGTCTCTCAAGAAGGTGTCAGCAAAATATAAGGTGCGCACAAAGCCAGTGAAAGAGTCTTCTGCCGAGCGGGCTTCAATCTTCCTCTGGACTGGAGCCAGTTCCATTTCCTGCAGTGCATCCTGATCAAATTTGGCATTTGCCTCCTGAACCTTCAAGGGAAAAGAGACGTTTCGCAAGCCAGGCACGTCGTCTCCCCCTTGTCCCCAGCGCAAGGGCACAGACCACCTCCTTCTCTGGGCAGGGTAGTCAGGGCTCCACATGCTACGAGTTTGTGTATAGAGAGGGTCCCAAAGAGCCCTCACCTCAGAGGTGTTTCCACCAGCACCTCGCCGCTTCCGGCTAGACACCCGGCTCCTCCTGATCCTCCGGAACGACTGCCGGAGGGACTTCTTCAGGGACTTCACCCGAGACAGTGGACCTTCTAAGGCCAGTTGGTCACTAGGATGCAGTGTACATCTAAAAATAATAATGATAAAAAAAAAGGTAGAAACAGGGTGGCAAACACTACTAACAGTTCAACATGGCAAGTACAAATGCAGAGACAAGAACATGCTTATATTCTTCAGGAAGTCCAATGAGGTAGGACTTCTTGTTCTAGTGCTGCTCCCTAGAAACCTATTCTCATATATTCTATGACTTGGTTAGTTAGGACTTCCAATGGGGAATTACCACCCTAAAGTTCATTGTAGATAGATACTTACTTCACAAAGACTAGGCGTTTCTGCTGGTGGTCAAAAAGACCAAAACCATGACTGGTACCAAAGGCCACAAGCTTCCATTCAGAGTGAAGGGCCAGTGAGGTGACCACAGCTGGTGGTTGACATTGGACCAGAACAAATGGCTGAAAACCAGCTTCAAATCGGACAGGACCATCTCGAGTCTTTAGTTTCTCATGACCTTTCCATCGATAGCCCTCTTGGTCCTGCAGGAGATCTGCTTCAGCATGGTCCACAACATGCTCTGCATCTTCATCATTCAGTTCCATCACCAGTACCTGAAAAGAAGGGAAAAAAAAAAACGTTAGGGCTCCTATTAGCCAGACAACCCTTCAAGTTGTCGGGTCAGATAGAGTGACAATATGAACAGGCCAAGACAGGCCAGAAGTTAAGTTCTGCACAGGTGAAAAAGCATCTCAGGGCTGGTAAATAATTATAGAAAAAGTCTAAAACAGAGATTACAGAAAGCAGGCGGCCATCAGACAATGTTTCCAGTGACTAGATTGATCAAACACTACCGAAATTAGTGTTGGCCCTTTGACATATCTCCAATTTGCAGTGTAATGGGGTGAACTAAAAGCAAGATTGATGATGACTATATATCATACCTGCCCTGCTGTTCCAGCTACAGCCAAGTATCCACTGTATTTACATAGGTAGATCTTCTGGATCCCCAGTCTAGGATCATCACTGTAAGGGTCAAAGGTCCCGACCTAGAAGACAGAGGGAGGGAGAAGCGGTGTGTGTACGTGCACACAACAGCTAATCTTTACAGGCGTATTAACAGCACAAGAATAAAACCTCCTCCGCTCCAGAAAGCTTCCACAACCAACAATTATCTCACCTTGCGAAGCGGAGGCCATTCATCCTCACCCAGGGTGTTCATGTTGTCATTGGGATCAGCGTCGGTGAGAAATACTCTCACCGTGCTCAGCTTGTAAAGGAGGTGCAAGCAGACACCAGACGCATCCCAAAACCGCACGGTGCCATCCTCATGCCTGCAGGAGGGGAGGTCATGGAAAGCACAGGTCATGCAGAGCCACATGTCACAAGGATGATAAAACAGAGGGGAAAAACCAATGCGCTCCAAGATTAAACCACACAATTACAAAGCCCTAAATTGTGGCAACTTAAGAGTTTCAAGATGACTTTAAAAAAAAAATCCAGTCTGTTCTTGATAGGACACAGATCAAGATCTTGATCTGATCTTTGGTTGCTCCAAAAAGGGGGAAAAAAAAACACTCAAACACACAAAAGAAAAAATTAATACTTCTAGTAGAAAAACTATGGTCTAAAAGAAAGAAAAAAAAATCAAGCTTTAATCTCAGTTCTCCAGGTGAGAATTTGCTTCTAAGAACTTGCTGCATCAAGAATAAAGTATCTGAAATACAGCCCACAGAAATGCTTGAAATTGCTTTGAAAAGAAAACGATACATTTTTATGTGGTGAGGCAATTTCTTGCTAGCTTCTTTATTCCAGCACTTAGCTAAATCTGGTCATGCTGATCAAAAGAGATAGGAGTCCAAACCTCTGAGATCCACAACACTGTAAATAGTGTGGAAAAAAAAGCTTAAAACTTGCAAGATTAAGCTCTGTATTTACATTGCTTCCTTTGAGTCACTGGATTACTGCCTCCACTTGTACAGTGAATTGTATTAAAGGAAAAGATAACATTTCAGAATCGAAAAATGAGGCAGCTTTATAGGTTATCTCTGGATAAAGGGATCTGTCTGTCCTCTCAAAAGCTTTAGGAAGCTCACAGCCCAGCTTTGAGGAGTTATATTGTACAGTTTCTTCTTTCTGCGAGAGGAGCAGACCATAATCTCAAGGAAAAGTCTCTATTAGTTCAAAAGAAAGGACAGACAGGTCAGAAGGGTTCCTTGAATTTCATCAGGCAAGTAGGTACATACCCTGTGAGCAGCAAGTCCCGCTGAGGAGGATCTGGAGCTAAGTTGGTGCCACCATCAATCGGCCATGGCTACAAATACATTAAGGGAAGACAGAGGCTTTCAGGGTGGTAATAGTATGAAGAGGATGCACAGTCAGCAGGAGAGCATGAACTTTAGTGCAAATGGCAGCCAACCAGCCCGTGCTGTTAGCTTTTGTTTGGATTAGATGTTCCTGTTCTGACACCAGCTGTGGTTTTTAGTAGAAGATATTCTACACATTTCCTCAAGAGGCTCTGCCGACAGCTTCCAGCTTCTAAATGAAGAGTTTGTTACCCTGGACAGCTGGGAACACTCACACTTTCCTTCTGGCTTGTCAAAGTTGGGAAAAAAATATCACATCTTAATCCCCACAGAGCGAGGAGGGTGGTGGTCTGGGAAACAGCCCTTCTCAAGGCTGCAGGACAGCAGGGACCCAGCCCTGCACTCGCTGTCAGGAAGAGGCCACCCACACGCTGCTACGCTCCTCCTAAACACGAGTGATCAAATCTACGCCCGAGGCTGCCATACCATATTGGAGTAGTGAACGTTCTGCTTGCTCCCAGCGCTGATAATCCTCTCCCACAGCTTCAGGGGGATGTTGGAGACGTGGTGGGAGCAGGTGATGGCGGAGCAGTGGAGAGACGCCAGGTACGGAGCATGGACTGCTGGCCAGCCTGCAGACTTGAGGTCTATCACCACCAGCTCCTCTTCTGCCAGCACCACCATGGCAGAGGGGTCATCAAACTCTGCAGAAACAACATTCAGTGAGGCCAACAGCAAAGACTATCCAAGCTTAATAGAAACAAGCTTTCTGTAAAGCTTATATGGAAACAACAGTCATGGAGCTCAATGCAAGTATGTTTTTGTTGGCAATACTTCTAAATGCTTCTGTGTTAACTGGGCCTATTGAGGCACTGATATTAACAGAATTCAAGATATTAATAGATTTACTGCAAGTTCTTGATCCTTTGTGTCACTGTTGGGACTACCAGAGGGACTCAGCTTTTCTTCGAGGTGAACTGCAACCACAGCTAAGCAAACAAGTTTCTACTCACCAGTGAAACTCAAATGTCCTTTCCAAGCTAATTAACAGCAGGGTGTGGATGGACACCTATACACCCCAGCAATGACCCATTTAGTGCTGTGTGGACCACAGTCCAAAGCTGCCTGACCACAGTCATGCCATGGGTGTTGCAGAAGGCTCCTCTGCTTGAGCTGGCAAGTGTTTGCAATCCAACACTCTGCCCTGGAGTTTTCTCTGCTTCTAACACACTGAGCTACATCCCCTGGACATTCTTTAATGAGTGCATCCATTTAATAAACATGATGAGAGGCAAAAGAAATCTGCTAATGTATCATTATACATGACACGCACTGAATCAAAGGGTAATTCTACTTATAAGTAGGAATCTTAACCCACATAAAAAAAATACTTACTCTGCATAACGTGCACAAGACAGCCACATTAGCAAGTGGTGGGGAAAACCAGGGCTCTGAATTGTTTCACACCAGTGACTTAATGAAGCCACACAAGCATAAGTGAATGCAGCCTGAATTTGTGTCACTGGGGGTAGGGGTGAATAAATGAGCAAACTGGCAGCTCCTCCCTGAGATTCTCTGTCCTTGACTTTCACTTCCCTTCAAGTGTTTGATTATCTGGAACACGCTTGCAAGAAGGCAAGTCTATAAGAAAAGATACACCACTCCAGTAGAAATAACTTCAAGTAACTACTTGGCACCACTCTAATTAGCCTGGGTTTCACCTTTCGTTGGCCACAGCCATAACACAGCAATAATTAGTTCAGTTTCTTCATGCAGACTGTGGAGTTGCTCTAAGATCCAGTTTTAGTTGCTCTAATCCAGTTTTAGTTCACTATCTTGTGTGCTGCCATTTGCAGTTGTCTACAGACCTTCTGAATTGGACAAACAGTATCATACATGTACTGCATTAGATATCATCAGTCCTGCACACTGACTAATACTACCAATATTAACCATATATGCTCTGCATTAAAAACAGCATTTTTTTTCCCTATAAAGGCACATATCTGAGGTCACTGCTTATGGAAAGAATCTGCTTTAAAATGCTGAAGTAGGAAACATACTAAAAATTTTTAGAGAGTTTTATAAACTTATCCACCTACTAATGGAGAACGAAACCCCAAAAAGTCAGGAAGGGCTAGTCCACACATTTATCTTTTCTTTTTAAAATTTCAGCATGTTCAGTGTTGTGGGAAGTCACTACCTATCACCATGCAGCAATGCATGAGCTCTGTGCTCATTAAATTCCGTGGCTCTGGTATACAATTAATACCTTATTATTGTCATTGCAGGGAAAACTGCTTACGGGCGAACAAGAAAAGCCACACAGACCCACTGAGCCCAGGCAATCAGCCAGGAGGAAGCCTGTCAACCACAGAAACCTCATTTTATTTTAAATAACTTCCTTGTCTAAGGACAAGGGCTTCAGCTTCCTGCAACACCTCCTCTCTGTACTCACTAGATGACAGGTGAACTGGATAATTCAATCCTTGGGCAGTACGAAAATAAAGTCTGGTAAGTTCAGTTATTTCATCCTAAAAGGGCTTCCAATCACATTCAGGAATTAAACTTAAAGTCAATCTCTAAATTTGCCAGCAAGCACTTAAAAAGCATCTAAATGTTAGCAACTTGTTCTGACTGAACTTCCAATACTGTCTATTTGCAGAGCATGAAATAGTAATTTTCTACTCAATTACATCGAGTTAACCAGAAAAAAGAGCTATGCCGCCAGGAAAGAAAGTTCTTTGGGTAAAATCATTGACAATTCCACAAAAAGAAAAAAAAATATATTATGTATACTGTGGAAACTAGAGTAACAAAGCACTTGAGGGAAGCAAGACTCTAACAAGTGCTAGCTATGCTGTGGAATGAGAACTATTCAGTATTAGAACTGTTTACACTCATATCTGCCAGCAGCAAGTTACGTACTCTATATATTGACCCTTAGTTCTAGGACTCCCTTTGTTGATTTATTACCCAGAGCCTTAGTCCTAATTCCAGGTAGTAATTAAGAGAAACACTGTCTTGGTGGGAGTCAATTTTATTTTTAATTATTGCCTCTTTTGAAGTACTATTTCCAAATAGAAATATCCAGACCTTGACTTCATAACTGGGTTATGTCCAGCCTCCACAGACAAGAGACTAAGAGGTCTCTTAAGGGAGTTTAATTTTTTTATTTAAAAAAAAAAAAAAAAAGGTATGGCATCTGTATTCGGGACATTCTTGATGCTGGTATTTTACACTTCACTTTTAATTGACACAATTTCTCTGCTTCTCAGAAAAGCCAAACAACTGAGCATAGACTCCCCACTTCACTTGCTATTTAGGCCAGGAAAACATCCCCATCCTTACCCAGCTATCCTAGTTCTTCAGCGTTGCCTTTCACTACGTACCTGCCGTGGGCTCTGAACTGAAGATGATGAAGAAGTCTATCACCCGGGATGTGAAGTCAAAGGCTGTTTGCTGGCTGCCATGAATGACAGAGATGCTGTGCCGGTCACCATAGCTAGCCCGGGGCATCCCTCCTTGGAATATAATGTAAGGAAGCCTGAAGAGAAAGACACGGATAAGGGGCATATGCTGAAATGAGGAATAAGGGCAACTTCAAAGATTTGAGACAAGCCTAACTTTGATAAGAAAATTCTTACTGTGTTGCTCTATACGGTGTTATGGCATTGCACATTGCACCGTTTAAGTGCCTCCTGCTAAAAATACCAAGAGGAGTGAAGGGAGACCAAGAACTTACCCATTTTTTGTTGTCTGCCAGTAGATCTTGGAGATGGCCTTGCAAGGAAAAGGACCTAAGAGAACAGAGTTAGTTACTACCATTTGAGAAGTTTATCTTTACACGGGAAGCTCCTTAATCTGCCTCACCCAGTCAGGAACAGGCAACCTGAGGTCATCGTGGCCTCCCTCAAAGGCAGCCACCTGAATTTAGAGGCACCACCACTACCTCTGCAGGCCAAGCCACATCAGATGCAGCCATTCTTCTGGGACACACTCATTCCCACAGCATTCCTCAACAAAACAAGGCTGAGACCCAAGGGGAAGTTCTGAACCGTGTTGCTGATGCCTAACAGGGATGGGGAGTGCTGCTGTAGAAGCTGATTAAGCAGAAAAGATTGTTGAAAACACAGCCATTCCCCAAATTAACGTAAAGGTGATAGAGCTTTAGAAGCTTCTATATGCTTGAAAGATGAGGTCATTCCCTCTTGATGGGTTTCAGCAAATGAGAGGCATCATTTCATCACTGCTGTTTGACAAGAAGTGCTCTTAGCTCACTATTAATTACAGAAGATCCAAGCAACTCCTTCTTTTTCTCCAGGCTGAAGACCTTAGTGATGCACTGAAGTTTAAAAGCAAAAAGATTTTAAACCCCAAAAGAGATCCCTTAATTGCAACACTGCATTTTGTCATCAGGATTCAACATTAAAGAGAACCTGGCTTAAATATTCCCCACAAGCTCAAAAGGAATTGGAGTTTCAGAAGAATACACAGCAATTCAACCCCAGAAAAAGGATGAGCCCCAGAAGCACATACTGACCATAAGGCACAAGGTTTTCCAGAGGCTCCGGCTGCCTATTGTCATTGGACACAGGCCACTGAGTGTAACTTCCATCATAGTGGCAACTAATGAATTTAGTGCCATCCCTTTGCCAGTAGAGGTTCTCCAGTTGCTGTAGAGGAAGAGACACAGTGACTGCTCTCCAGAAGACTAGTAACCCCTCCAAAACCAGCTCATTCTTAGCAAGAGCTTTGCAGGCTCTCTCTGCACCCACTTCTTTTCAAAGGGCCCTGAGAGGAGACCAATTCCACAACACTAAATTGATTTGGGGCTGGATTAATACCTGGCTGCCCAGGAAATGGTGTGTGACTTGGCTATTCTGAAGGTCCCAGAGGACGATCAAGCCCCTGCTGTATCCAATCAGGATGAGGTTTGGGTTCTTGGGATGCTCCCGGAGCACTTCCACCAGTTCACACGATCGCCTGTTACAGTAATCGTCTGGCACCCTACGGAAGCAGAAGAGAAAACCTAGAGAAGTTTACTCCACGTGTGATCCAACATGACCGTAAGAACAGTTAAGGTAGAAGGACCAAAGCAAAAAAAATTTTTTTTTTTTTAAATAAAGCAGATGAGAATAAGAATGGTCTTTCCAGGAATCTGTCAAGCAGCAGAAACTCTTATATAAGACATCACACCAGGCTCCTGGAGGCCTGCCAAATGAACCAGCATCTAGTCCCATTCTCTTAAGGGAAAACCCATGGTTTGCTGTGAATTCCAGGACTGGACCCCCAGAAATGTGAAAACAATCTGAGTTGCCTGTGCTATTCTCTCACGACCCTTGCAGTATGAGTAATTGTGTACAAATGTGCTGAACAGAGGCATTTGGTTTCTCTACCAATTTGTGTATAGAGCAGGCTCTGGATTTTTGTTTAGCTGACATTTCCATGTCAGAAGGAAGTGCCAAGGACACAACATAGGACAAAGTTTTCAGCAACACTCAGACCTCCAGAGTGACAAAAGTCCTTTTTTGGACAAAGCAGCATCAGAAGTTCCACCTCTTGTGGATGAAGTAAAGGTGTAATCAGAGCTAAGTAACTTTTGTTGCAGCTGTGGACACAAGGGCCCAGGCACAAGACCTGCAGCTTCACTCCAAACGTCCCCCGTGCAGTTCTGCCCATCTCCTGGCAGTGACAGCCCTGGGTTCACAGGGTCCAAAACCGTCGCTTCACACCTGCCAGGCCAAAAGTGGCTTTCGCAGAAGTCGCGCAGATTTGGACGCTGCCAAATAGATAACAATGAGCCCCAGCACCGAAGGGAGGGTGGCATTTCATGGAAGGGACATCTGCTGCACAGAGCAGCGCCCGTGTCCCCGCTCACCGCTGCAGCACGGCCTCGGAGGGGACGGTCCTGTCCTCCAGCACGCGGAAGGAGGGCAGCTCCGCCACGAAGACGCTGCCGCTCTCCGTGCCGAGGTAGAGAACGGCCCGCGAGGAGTGCGGGAGGACGGCCGTGATCTGCGTCGCGCTCGGGGGGGACCTGGGGTGCAAAGGGAAGCTGGTCAGCAGGGCACAGGGCGCCCAAGCTTATTAAACTCGGGAGTCAAAGCAATTCGTCCTATGGGCAGAGACCTGCAGCCAGGCATGACATTTTAAAGGAGGAGAAGGCCCGAGCAGAACACTACCTTTAAGATAAATTACGTCAAGAGACTTTTGGCAAGGGCATGAACAAAGACCCAGATGCCTTTTTACAGCAGCCTCTCTTCCCAGGCAGCCCCCAAAGCAGCTAAAAATAGCTCACCCAAAAGCAGCAAGACCACGTGAAACTGAAATCGTAGCAATATTTTAAACTCTTACTTAAGGGATGATTAGATTTGCTTAACCTTAAGATTTATTGCTCCTTTGCACATAGGATTGGATACACATTAATGTTAGGAAAAAAAAAAGCCATCGCTTTTTATATGGATGCAACAGTCCTGCGAGGTGGAGTCCTGGGCCCCAACAACCTCTTTCCATGGAAGCCCCTTTAACGGATTCACAAAACCAAGAAAGCCCCTCAGATGAGGACGAGCTGCAGCTAGAACAGCAGATTTTTCCTACTTGCTTGTCCCCTAACCAGCTCAAAACCACCCCTGCAGGTTACCCCGGCGGCCCTTTCAAGGTGAAGCGTCGCTCTTCCTGCAGCTCCGAGGCTCTGTTGTGCTGCTTCAGGCTCCAGAGGTGCAAACTGTTGTCATCCAGAAGCGTCACCAGCTGGCACTACAAAAGCAGACAACATCCTTCGTTTGGGAACCACAACACAAAGACTGGCAGAGCGGATCTACCAATAAAGATGCTGCCGTCCATAACCCGTTCACGGGACTTCAGGGCTTGGAGGAAACCACAAGTAGCCTAAAGACTCCAATTCTCTTGCACAGGACCCTGGATTGTCACCAGGATGGGGTGAGAGGAGGATTTAGGCCCTTGCAAAGCACCCATGAAGCTGAAGCTCCCACGAGCACCTTGGCCCGGCACCGTTTGCAGCCGCTCACCCAGCCTGGGCAGGGTGGTGGCCCCGCGCGCCGCACTCCTCGCATTCTTGATGCTCAACCTCATTCTGGAGGGTTGTGTCAGCCGCCTTTTACGAGCCCAGCCCTGCTGGCTGCTTGTTCAAATTGAAGCACTTGGCCTGCTGCAGCCACACCTGGCGCAACACCCCCCGTGGGAGTTTCAGTTTATACCATTAGTTAAGCAAACAGCCACCCAAAACTGGCTCCAGAAGGAAACCTCTCTCAAAGAGGCCGCTGGTGATAGACGAGAGGTGCCAGGTAACGAGCACATGGCCCACACACCAGTCTGACAGCAAGAGAAGCGAAAGCCCCTTGGAAAGTTGCGCCTTTTTCTTTCAGTTTGTGGCAATAACCACCCAGCAAACCCCAAAATCAGGAGTCAGTCCAGACAAACACAAAAGCAGCAACCTCAGGAGCAGGCAGGGTTAATGGGAGTGCTTTGAACTCTCCCAAAATAATGAAATCTGCTCAGCAGCAGCCACTGCCCCAGCTGGTCTTGCAGTAGGGTTGGGTGTTTGTGGTCCTGCAGAACAGCAGTTGCAAAAGGAAAAGGAAGTTTTTTGCTTTTGCATCAGGCTGCCTGAACTGCCCTGGCCTTATTGCTACTCCCACTATACACGAGATAAACGGCCAATTACGAGCACTAAACCTATTCTAAGTTTTATCAGACATCTCTGGCAAAGAGCACTACAGAGAGCACAAAATATATTGGAATAATGTTCCAGACCAAGCAGCATTTGAATAAACTTGATATGAGGAGCCCAGTTACCCGGACCAATTTTAAACTCAACACCCGTTGAAGAGCAATCTCTGTAAGTCACAAAAGAATTGAAAAACACACTCACCTGCTCAGGTATGAAGTGTATCTGCATTACAGTATTGTTTTCTTCATGTAAACCCATGAACTCCACCCCGGGAGCACCATATCTGAAGGGTTTGTTGAGGATCAGCAGTATTTAAGACGACCCACAGCTGCAGTTAATTGCTAAGAAGCTTGCTAGCAAGCAACATGAAGAGAGATTAGTTCAAAACAAGGTTGTTCACCCAGCAATTTGGACGGAGGAGAAGCAACACGAACCTCCTCTGACTTTCTGTGCGTGGGGTGGGTTGCTACAGGAGAACATGGAAGTTTCCTTGTCTTCTGAGCACATGCAGAAGAGGTGCCCAGACCCTGTTTTTTCTCAGGGATGTTTAGTGGTTTCCCTGACACTAAAATCCTGCTTAACTAATTTGTAACCAGGAGACAGATGGCTCCTGCCTGCATGTGGAGTCCAGCTTCCGAACACAAACACCACTGGGAATGATTAAGCAGGCATAGAAAGCACCAACTTTTCCTTTCTGGGCTGGGATGCCTGTTTCACAGCATGCCTGGCGGGCACGGTGCCACGGGATGTGCAATATTGGACTGGGCACCACTCTTTTGGGAGAAAAAGGAGAGTATTCAGGTGTCTAACATCTGCATGGTCACAAACTCAGGAAGCTGAGAGAATTTTTTGCTTCATTTTTAACCTCGGAAATAGAATTGCTTTAAGAAACAGAACCCTGCCCCCTGCCCCAAATATTTAAACAACCCTGGAATTTACAACATGAAGAATTACTAGACTGGGGCCAGATCTTGTCTGACCTCCTGCATAGCAGGAGCAAAGAGCCCCATCTAATATCTGCATTAAGTTCTGCTTCTGTTTGAGCTACAGTTCAGCTCCTGGCAAGATAATCCCACCCCGATCAGATCGGAATCACTGAGACAAACTGCTCTAGTGTTCAGTAACCCTTCTTACAAATATACACCTTGTCTTAACTTAAATTTGGGCAGCATTTTCATGTAAAATTACACCTTTCTGGGCTATCAGAGAGATCTGCCCCAGGTGGTTTTGAGGGATACAGTTTGATGGCTCCCGATCGCGTCCCAATGGCCATAAGGCGGAGGAAGGGGCTGTAGCCCAGCGCGCTGGGTTGATGGGGAAATCCATGTTCCACAGTCTGGGAGAGAGGAAAAAAAATACAATTCATAGCAGGTTGCATGGACATTGTTACATACAGATGAAAGACAAAAGTTAAATACAGCATGGCGGTCTGAAATACAGCATTTAATGAGCTTTTTCTGTTGAAGTGTTCAGATAGAACAAGTTGGATTTGCTGGAAAATAATCTCAGGCCAAATCTGATACGAAAGCCCCTGGCTGCACAGCCCACACACAGAAGCACAACAGAAATGAAAAAGCAATATTCCAAAAGCAGTAATCCACGCAGATCCTTTTATTAAATTTATAAATCCCAAGCACAGCTTACTCCATCTCCACAACACACTGGATCAGTCCTCAGCAACTTCACCTCCTGCAAACCACCTGCTCAGCATAATTTCCAAGCCTGACACAATTACTCCTTATTGTAAGGTCAGTTTCACCTGCTAAATTCCATATAAATCAGCCTCCATAACCCTCCCTTGCTGACTGCCACCAGGAAGCAGTGCAAACCAAGAAGCAGCATTGAGTGAACACCAGTGCTCACCAAGAAAACTAAGCAGGTTGCCCATGGGGCAAATGGAAAAACTAAACCATGTGACACCCAATTTCCAAAGGTAACATAAGGAACACCAGATTTTAACGAGCACAGGAGCCTGCTACGCTGCCTCAGACTAAACCAAGGCCATTCTGCAAGAAGACACCAGTAACTCTCAAGGAGGATACGCAGCACGTTGCTCGCATTCAGCTTAGCACAGCTGATGTATTTATACACTATGGCAGAACCTTCTGCTGTCCCTAAAGGTTGTGACGAAGCTGCTTGAGAAGTGGCTTCATGGGGTTTTTAGCAGTGCCAGCGTTGGGCTGTGGTCAGGGCTTGGAGCAAACAAGGGTGCACGAGGGCTCAAGGACATCTGATTGTATCGAGAGCGACCTGCGTGTCACCGTTAACAGGGCTGCCGCGCTGCGAAACGCTCAGGGTGCTTCTGGTGCAGAGGGATCTGCAGGAAGAGCCACATTGCTAAGGCAAGTTGGGCAGCTAGCGAAGAGGAAAAATAGAAGAAAAACAGAGGGATAAACAGAAAACGCTCTGTCTGCAACAGCAGGCACTTGCTCCTCACTCCCGCCACTGAGATGGAGTTGCCAACTTGGTACATTATTGTCTACTTAACCCAAATCTACCACTTTATTTCCTGCACGGCGATGTCCAGCTCACTCCTTTGTAGGAGAAGCAACTAAAGCTCGTGTCATTTGCGTGGCCTTGCCATTAGCCCGAGGTGTTCCCAGCTCCAAGGCAGTCACAAAGTCCTTGCACAGCCCTTTACTGCTCCTGCTCCAAGGCACAGGAGGACAGGGCCGATTCCACAGCCTGCTCGATGGCTTCAGCTCCGGTTGCTTGACCAGAATTCAGACCTCCTTCCTCCAAATCAGCCGTCACCCCGGTCTGGAGTCACAGCCGAGGAGGCTGAGCCACTTTAGAATAGAGACAAAATTGGAAAGATTGGAGCATTTCCTGTTTTTTTTTTTTGCTTACCAACTCACAGGACAGGACAAAAAAGGCATTACTAAATTCTAACCTTTTATACCCAGCAATTTGAGATGATCACTACTGGCTCAAAAAGCAGCAGGTTTATTCCCTTCAAGACAGCTTAGTCTCCAGCCATACTTGTCTATACTATAAGAAGGGAAGTATTAATCTAATAGAGGTGATGAAACTTTGTACCATAACATCTACTAACACAGAAAAGATTTCTAGTTGTCAAAGAGTAGGAGTATGAAGCCATGAAATGTAGTTTGGGGAAGAAAATCCAAGATAACATGTTACCTTAACAACGAATGAGGGAATTGACTGAATCAGCTGCAACACAGGCTACAGACACTGTTACACTCACCCCACAAAAGGGCAAGATGCTGCTTTGGGACAAACCAGTGCAGTTTTGCCATTAGTTTTAGTTCCAGTTTGTTCATGGCTACCAACCTGCCAGGCTGTAGGTGTCATTTTTAATGAAACATCGGGTAGAAACTGAATTTTGTCTGAGATGTTTTCCAGTCCACAAGATAACCGTGATTTAGTCATAATTCTCATAATAGAAAAGCATGACTTACATAACACAGCAGGGCAAGAAGGGATTCGTGTGCCTTTCTGGGCATCCTGGACCATTCCCACCGTACTCCCTACCCCACATCTTTTCCTTGCACTTGTTTCCATGCAGGATCACATTAAGGCAGCTGTGCAACCAGCCTCCTCGGGCCCCCTCTACCAAGCAGGCTCAGCAGCCCCTGCTTTCACCTGGACAGCAGGTAAATCCAGCCAAGGGGCAGCAGAGGTGACAGCAGGTGACAATGGAGCCTTTCAGCGGAGCTGGAATGAGAAACCACGGAGGCAGCAGCAGGGCCTCCTGCTCAATAGGCCCTTTGTTTCTTTGGGGAAAACGAGGAGCTTTCATTTTCATTTTCCCTAAGACTAGAGGTTTGCCAGCACCTGATGCCAGCAGCTAAGAGCAAAGCCTCCCGTCACTCATATCTACCAGGAGAATGCAGCCAAGTTAACAGTTGGTTCCCAGCCCACACTCAAGTTGAGCAGATTAAATTTGGTGCATTTTTACTCCTTTCATTTCTCTTCCCTTCTCCCCTCAGGTTGTTTTATGACAAAGCAAAAACAAACTCAAGTGCTCCAAACCCAAGACCCGCACGGTGGCCAACCTGCCTTCGGAGGGAACAGGGAAGCCAGAACGTGTCAAATCCACCCTGCAGAGACACTAACCCTGTGTTTGGGGTAAGCTGCCCATCAGTGAAGGGTTAGAAGGCTAAAAAGAGGGGGGAAAAAGAAAAAACCCAAAGCCACAAATGAAACGCAAGGCTCCCGGTGTGGTAACGTGGAGCTGTAGGACAGGCTGGGTCACCTGTGCGCTACCCGTCACCGGCACTGACAGTGCCAGCCTCAACATGTTGCTCTGCAGGGCTCGGGCTGAGCCAAAGGCATCCAAATACTACTTCCAAAAGTCAGTGGCCACCACTGAAAAGAGACCAGCACCATCCTCTGCACTCCCTCCCTTGAGGTATTTATATACACTGATTAGATCCCCTCTCAGCCTTCTCTTCTCCAGGCTGAACAGGCCCAGCTCCCTCAGCCTCTCCTCATAGGGCAGATGTTCCAGACCCCTGATCATCCTTGTAGATGTAAATCCACCCTGCAGAAACACTAACCCCGTGTTTGGGGTAAGCTACCCATCAGCGAAGGGTTAGAAGGCTAAAAAGAGGGGGGAAAAAGAAAAAACCCAAAGCCACAAATGAAATGCAAGGCTCCCGGTGTGGTAACGTGGAGCTGTAGGACAGGCTGGGTCACCTGTGCGCTACCCGTCACCGGCGCTGACAGTGCCAGCCTCAAAATGTTGCTCTGCAGGGCTCGGGCTGAGCCAAAGGCATCCAAATACTACTTCCAAAAGCAGGATAAACTTCAAGGAGGAGACTGCCAAGTCCACATACCTTCTCCTTGCTTCTACGCACCGAGCTAAAAACAGAGCCTCGCAACAGGTACACACAAGCACGGGAGGCTCCGCGCCGGGCCGAGAAACCGGCACACGGAGCAGAAATTGGGGAGGTTTCCTGACAAATGAGCACAGGCTGCAGGAGGGCTTGGAGAACTAGCCTAGTCCAGGGATCAGGCCTTTAAAGCCATCCAGACCTGCTCTTTTCCAGGATAGAGGTGCAAGAGGAAAACCCGAAGAAAAAGATTACAGCTTACTGAAACCTAAGGGAGTAAAACAATAAAAGTGCAAATGCAACAAATGTTAACATATATAGAGAGAAATATATATACATCATAAATAATATGATATATATATCAAATAGAGATTTATATATACAAGCTGCCTCTTGCCTTTTTTAATTGAAGTCCATTACTGGGTTGACACGGCCAAAACAAAAGCACTGCTCCCCATTCACACTGAATTTGGGCAGTTGGACATATTCGTATTCACTAGTGTGTAACCAACAGTCGGAGGGCAGGAGTACCACAGCCCTTCCAGGGTACAGACCTCCCATTTAGTCACCACCAGCATCACAAGCAGTCACACACTGAAGAGATGCAAATCCTCCCAGCAGCAACATAGAGTCCCACAAAGTATTTCCCAGAGGGGGTTTTAAGCAGAAATGTTTCAAAGGCCTGAAATAACAGTTGTCAAAAAACTCACTAACCACCACACTGTTTTTGCTAGCACATTGGACAAGATTTTTAGCCCAGAAAACACCCCAAGATTCTTGGCTCTTTATACCACAGTGCTCAACAGGCCTGAATTAGGACGTGTCTTTTCCCAGCTCTTTTCAGCCTACCTGGCTGCAGGGAGATGTATTTTCTATCAAAGGGCCTTTGAAGGATCCCTTTATCTCCAGAAATACTGGAATGGGACAGATTTGAACCAGCCCTATGTGAGAACACAATATAAAAGATTCCAGTATAACATAACAGCACCAGTACATTCCCTTTCCAACCTATTGGTGCAAAATTAAAATAATAAATAAAAACAGAAAAAAAAGAAAAAAAGAAAAAAAGAAAACAAGTTAGTTTGGCTTAAAAGTCAAATGCATTCTTCAAGGCCTTTCATCACCAAGTCATTAATGGGAGTAAATCCTTAGCAAGTGTCCAAAGTAGCCACCTCCCTAGAAACAAGATGCTATTTGCACCTTCAGGTCTCAGTCAAATGAAGTCACCCATCCTGGTGCCAAGCTCTAGTATATTTGGACATTTTGCTCTGCTGCAAAAGCTAGTTCTTTCAATCCTGTTTTGCATCATCCAAATTAGTCCTGCTGGGTAAAGTTTAGCCAAAAGTTTCTCATAAGAGAATGGCTTATTCAAGGAAGAAATAGGAAAGAGTGCTCTGAAATAAGCAGTATGTTATATGCTTTTAGCTTATTCCTTTCAAGTTATTGCTGGGATGTCTTTTGAAGCTGGTACTGCACTCACCAAAATAAAACAATTCAACACTGGACTTCATTTAGTGCAACTTTTTCTGCAACTGCACTAGCATTTCCTCCTGGTAATGAGCAGAAAATAGGACAAAAGCAGTTGAGTTCCTTCTGGCTCTTTGATGATGGGAAGGGGTGTGTGGAAATAATGCTTATTAGTACCAAATTACACTAAATGATTCATTCCAAATATCCAAGCGAGTTCCACTTTAAGGGAATGTCTACACTGGGTAGGGTTTTAATGAACCAGGAAGCTCACCTCACTTACCATTATATTTTTCAGCCAAATTCCATTTAACCTTGGAAACAAAATCCCTACAAATACACTTTTGATACCCAATGGAAAGTATTGTAAGTAGACCAGCAATACATTAATACTAGGGTTTTACAGTGTTCCTGGCCAGGCTGGGGCTCTAAAGAAAATGCCCAGCGTGTTGCGTAGGTGCTGCAGCCAAACATCCCTGTTCCAGCAGCACGGGCAGAAAACCAAACCAGAACAGCCTAGATACAGACTCAGACTAAAATAACAGCCAGTTTGTTACAAACAGCCCCCGTGTTGCCTAGGTGCTCCTGTATTTCCATCTCAGACCTCCAGTTCTGGCTTTATAAGCGCAAAGTGCAACCCCAGGCAGAGAAATCTGGCAGCTGCTTCAGCTGCATCACGAGCTGCATCTTAGGTGCAGCTCCAGATGACACTGACTTCCACAGAGGGACTGCGAAGAGTCCCTGGACCATAAGCAGCCACAGCACACAACGAGGTGAAGATCTCTCCTTTCTCTGAAAGTACCACTGAATCAACAGCCCAACAATATGCTTTTTCTTAACAGCCAGAATTGAGAACGTGCTCCCGAGTTTTGAACGTCAGACCCTTGAACACATCAGCAAAAAAGCGCAGTACTGAAAACCAGAACAAACCACCTCTCCTAAATTTAACTTTTCCACCCACGCTCCGGTACCTTCTTACTCTGCGATGACTCCGGGCAGATCTGCCTCTCACACACAAACGGTGAAGTTTGAAGGAAGCACCGTACCTTATTAAACTGGAAAAGGTCACGTTTGAGCCTCTCTCTCACTGGATCATGTCCGGGTCTTAGGAACCTTCTCATTTTCCCCGCTGTATTATCTTGGCACCAAAAAACCTAACAAAAGGAAAAAAAAAAGAAGGCAAAGCCACATAAACAAAGGCAGCCCGAGAAGAGAAGCAGGCAGAAGTAGGTTATTTTGGTCGAGCAGGTAAGGAGACAATAAAGCTATAGAGTAACTAAAACCTGATACGGCAGCAGATCTGCGTCCCCGGTGGCAGGATTTACTTACCAAAACCCATGTTCAGTTGCCTCAGCAGCCCGAGGAAGGCAGATCCGAGACGTGACTGGTGTTTGCGCCGCCCAGGAGAGCCTTTGTCCAGATAAGTAAATAAACCCTTTGCTTATTTATTTTTAAATGCATTTGGCCATTTTGCTTTCCGATCAGCTGATCTTCTCCCAAGAAGAGGGAAGCAAAAAGGCAGCACCTGCACAAACCCTTGGAGAAGCTGCTGCAAAGGCAGCCCCTGGTTCGCAGGCAATATTGCCTAGAAGTGGTTTTCACCCAGGTAACCCAATGGCTACTGAGCTAAAGAGAGACAGAATTGCCTTTTCAGCTCCTCCACAGGCACAGCAGAATGGCATCGCGCTGCCTGCGGGGCACCGCGTTAATTATTAACCTGCTGCTGTAAAACATTAAGCCTAATTCACTGCTCAAGGTGGGGGAAGGAGAAGGGGATCTCGCACCTGCAGATCAACGTCCAGCTGCAACCACAACCTGTGGGAGAGCCCCGGGTGCCTCCTGTCCTTCCCTGCGCCAGGACGAGCCGAGGGGGACGCGCCGGGGAGCGGGACGCGTAGCCCAACGATGGCAGCGGAGCCACCCGCGAGCGCCTGGCATCGACACCAATGCCACCTCCCTCCCCTGCTCGGCGGCGAGTAGAACTCTGCCAACATCGAACGTTGAACTCCCATGGTGACAGCAGACACGGGAGAAAACATCCCTGCCTGGCCTGGCCGTCACCCAGAGGCCCCACTTGGCACCACGCAGGTGGCCGAGCTGTGGGTGAAGGGGCTCCCGGCTGGCACCAAGGAATGTGTCCGGAGCGCGATTCCCCAGGCAGGAAATCCCGGCTGCTCAACAGCTATTCCGTGAGCAACCGACCCGGGAGCACGGGGCAGCACGGGCTGCTGCAGCGCAGGGAAGCGCAGGCTGCAGCGAAAGGCCTAAGAGCCCGTCC